AATGGAGCAAATCACAGATAGAATCACTAAGAACAGTCTTAGACCTTTCATGAATACCACCCCCGGATCTTGGTCCAGGAGACCTCTAGGCCCAAGGACTCCACCTCACTGCTGAACGCATCAAGAGCCACCACCGGTGATCCCAGAGACTCAGATAGTATGGCAATACTAGTCAGGCAAAGTCGAGGTCGTTGACTTTGATATTGCCCAGTGACTTTGGATAGTAACACTGCCCCTTATCCCCCCTAGAGGGAGCCACCTTGCCGCCGTGAAGTCCCAATGACCTGAGGAGCCAACCAGAGGGAAAGCTCTCCCACGTGTCTTTGTCATGTGTGGTGTCCCGTATTGCTGGAGGTTAAGCGTTGCTACACGCTGCACCCTGCAGTTAGCAACACACTTCTTTGGTCCTCTTTTCTGGTTAGACGGGTGAATTGATCAAGTTCCATTCAATTCAATCGGCTGGTCAAATACGGCTAGGGTCAAGCAGGCATTACCCATTCGGTTTTGCACAGGTCATACAACTGCCACCAGCACTGGGTTGTGATCGCGTATATTTCCTCACAGCTCCTTTGGCTGTTGCGAGTATTTGAGGCCCAACTGTGGCCTCACCTCGTTGGTCTTCATAATGGGTGAGGAAATTATAAATTCTAATTTGTATGCTTTCTACAAATTTAAAAAGAACTGGCTCTATCCTTGATGACCTATGCAATCCCCTGGTTAATCCCTCTTGAATATCATGTGTTGTCACACTGGAACCTTTCTAGCTTCTAAAGGGCAAGAGTAGGAATTGGAATGCTTCCTAGATGGGATAAGGAGAAAAGTCCTCCTCACCTTGTTAAGGAAGTCGTACTTGGTAAATATGAAGGTATCTCATATAGTAAATACCTTGTGGTGAAGACCATTGACAGAGTGTTACTCATGGATCTTGATAATTTTGAAGTACATCGCAAGAGAGAAGGTGTGTCAACGTGATCCTTGGATTACCCCACAGCGAGATGTTAGCCTGATAGTCAACGATAGACGAGTGACCGTCCGCGTGCAATATACAACATTTCTCATGTTCTCACTAAACACTCAATCAGTGCAAAGGAATTGTCTTTTTCCAAGACCTGATGAGGTATTCTGAGAAGAAACTTATAGGAACTAAAGAATTTTAAAGTACTGGCAATGAACCGTTTTAAGTTGATGGTGTGAAACAATTGGCATCAGCTTTTCTAACTTTTGAAACATTAGTCCTTCCGGAATCAGTCAAGTTGGCATGGTACCATAAGGTAAAGCCATTTGTGTCCAACCCTATGTGGTCCTTCCATTGCCAGGGTTATGAGCATGGAGCCAACTTTTGCCGTCTTGGGAAAAATAGATCACCAAGAGAGTGTGTGTGTGTGTAAAGTGCTGTACAATAAGTCATCAAGAAGATGACAACTGTCCAGTTCCAGTATGCTGGGAGCTCATGATGCTTCTTCAAAGCAGTGTAGAAGGTACAAATTTGAAGAAAAAAAGTATTGGTTATTAGGAACAAGAAGAAAGTTTTCCAGAGGTAAAGCAATATGCCCGTGTTCTGTTCATACAGCCAGGGAAGTCCTTTGACTCTGTTCTAGCCAGTCTTCCTTCCCACCATCCCTTACCCAAGTGAAACACCCTGGAGTGACCACTGGAGAGACGGAGAGTTTTGAAGTGGACCCGAAGGGTAGCTACAATTGGTCTATGGTCACTGCCAGAGAACTCGACACTCCAGTAAACCCTGCAGCTCTGGAGGATCCTCCAGTGAGTGCTAACAAGAAATCCTCAGTCTCTGGAACCCAGCAAAATCCCAGAGGAGGCTGTTGTTGCTTCTGATATCAGATCATGAGCCCTGGGGACCGTAAAACATCTTGTAACCAGCTCGATCACAGCTGGTTACCGCATTGACCTCACCCAGAATGATGTAAACGTTTCACCGGGGACATTTGTCTGCCACAGACGTTAGTTTAGAACGCCTCTTTCCCATCGGTACAAGCATCGGCAGGAGCGTACACAGCAATAAGAGACATGAAGCCAAAAGCATGCTGGAAGTCGGCTGGAGATGGCCATGGCTTCTCCAAGGAGATAGTGACCATCGTCCCGGCCTGACCAGTAGTAGGTGTACCCAGGTCTTCTCACCTCCAGGGAAGAGTAAGGGAGAGAAGAAGCAAGGAGGAATATTTTGAGTCAGAGAAAATCGAAGAAGGAAAAAAAGAGAGGAAAAAAAGATAATGGGAGGAAAAATAGCGAGAGAGGAAAAACGAAAGTTTTAAAAAGAAAAGAGTGGCAAAGGAGAAGGAAGGAGTGGAGGGGAGAGGAGAGGAAAAAAATGAAAGGACAAAACAAGAGAGTAGAAAGAAAGAAGGAGAAAAAGAAAGAGAGGAAGGAGAGTATTAGGAAGAAATGCACTCAATTATCTTCCTCATTATTTATGTGTGTTTGTGTGTGTATGTTTGTGTGTGTGTGTGATTCTTCATTTCATTACATATATATCTGTGTGCGGGAAGACAGTGTAAAGAACAAGAGAAAGTGAGATAAAGTCAAACGAAAAATCAAAACAAGAAACAAACAGCAACATAAAACTCTTCGGCTTTTCTAAGAAAAGATGAAAGATCTGGCGCACGAGGAGCAAGTTTGTGTGTATGTGTGTGTGTGGGGGGGGGGGGGGGGTGAATGAGGATTTTCCGTGATTTAACACAATTAGAATTCCTAGCTTAGGGGAATATACACTTAAGGGAGAGTAG